CAGCATAAAAGTGCAGCAGCTCGTTGCAGTATTTTTTGATTTGTCAAACAGAGAACAGGAACTAATCACTGGGTTAGGGTTAGGTTGAAATGAAAATCTACAGTCTTGTCATAATAAACTACTGTAATGTATTCTTAGGATTGTCAGATGAAAAGAAATACATCCCTATAAAATATGCTTGAGGCGCGCTGCCATGGCACGATTAAATATTAACAAAGTTTGAGCAATTATTAGTCATTAAAAGGGAGAAAAGACACTTGAGAATCAATTTCATATGAGGGAAAAGATAAAAGAAAAGGAAGAATTAGGATTAAAAAAAGAATAGAAAGAGTGAAAAGGTGGAGTTACAGGGAATGTTCAAACACTAACACTAGTCTTATCCAAAATGCTGAGCCACATTAGGGTTTAAACTCCTACAATGGTGCAAATACTGTAGTTCACTACACTCAAGCTTCTCCTTTTTCATCAGCCCTCTGCCAAGACAATTGATTCTTGCCTTTATTCATCTCACGCTTCATCTTTCCCAAACCCCTTTTTTCTTTTTTTCTCCAGTCTTTCTTCAGATCTGTGCTGTGTCAGTCACACTGAGTCTTGCAGCGAGGCCCTAGGAGAAATCCAGCAGTTTTTTTTATAGCTGAAACATGCTAATGGGCTCTAAAATCCAAGTAAATCTACAGCAACTTTGTCTTGATTAGGATGCAGCGCATGTTACTGTAGTCCCTGCAGCGCAGACTAAAGCTGGAGGTTTAACGCTCTGGCTTAGAGGCATGATGAGAGGAAGTGTGTGTGTGTGTGTGTGTGTGTGTGGGTGTGTGTGTGTGTGCACCAAGGTCAGAGATGAGGGAAGTGAGAAAAGGAGCTATGTGGGACTTTTGGTCCACAAAAAGACTTTTACAAACCTGATAGAGATGCTACAGAGACACTGTCGTCAAAACTCAATGTCTGATATTAATGTGGTTCAATGATACTTTCAGCCTTTTCTATTAACTTTTTGCTTTCAGGTACTGAGGTGAACCACTAACACAATCTGTATGACAGTTTTGAATGCACTGGAATGTTAACAGTGATGAGAAAAACATTAGATGAGAGTTGCCGGAGAAAACATTTCTTAATGATGTCAAGCGATGACACAAATGGAAAGTGAAACTTTTAAATATCGTCTCTTAAAGCTGCTCTAAACTTTTTTTCTGTATTAAGATTGATGAACCCGTATTTTTTTCCACACAAGATATTTAAGCTTCACTTTAGGGGGGGCTGTCATTCCATCTTTATATACTGTCAAAAGGTTTTATAATATGTCAGTGTTGTGTTTACAACGTTTTGTGCTGCCCCCAAGTTGCCAAAAAACAAGTAATGCAGGTTTAAATATATTTTTACACCCAAGACAAGTCTGTATCCAAATAAGTAAACTCAGGAAGCTACCAAATCTTTATATCTATCTGCTTTGCAAGGAAATGACAGCAGCATTGTGACTCTGCACTCATCGTTCCAAAACACACAACTCTTCTCTCACAAACACACACAGAGATGAAGAATCCATCAGCCTTGGGCCATGAGGCAGAGTAGTCTCAGAGTGATTCCACCTTGCCTTCATCCCTCCTTCAATCTGCCTCTCCTGACTTCCCCCCAAAAAACATTTCCTCGCTCCACAGGACCCCACCGCCAGTCAAAGACATCGTCCTGTCCTCCAGGTACTCCGAGGAGTGTGAGGTGCATACATCACTGTCTGGATTAACTATCAGCGAGGACACACTGCGGCACCACGACGTCGGCTGGATGAGAAAGAGAGCGTCAGACAAGAAGCAGCTGCTGACAAATGAAAACTAACTAGCAACGCCGCCTCAGAGACACCCACATAAAAGCTTCTGTGCTTAGTTATTAACCCACAGATAAGTGGCTGCAGGGAGAGTGAGTGTGAGTGTGCATATGCGTGCGATTACACGTGTGGGAGTTCCTGATCTCTTGTTCTAAGCACCGTTTCCTTTCTGGTACCTGGTGGGGAAAAAAACACACAGTGCAGGTCTGATCCAGAACTTCTGCATCCAATAAACAAAACAGTGTTTGATGTGTTGAAAATGAACCAGAGAAAAACCCAGAGGGCCAAAATGGCCAAACTCGCACTGAGCTGCCCCCCCAGTGCCACAGAGCAGGAAGACTGTCTTTCTTTTCATCATTTTTATAGCCCAGTCGAGCTTCCTGAATTACCCGCACTCCACTCGCTCCCCGTTGGCAAGCAAAGCCCATGACACACACATACGAGCGGACCGGCAGACCCCATGCCGGCCCTGGTGGCCTACATCTAAGCCTGCCTCTGCTGAGCTTACGGGAGGTGAAACCCACTAAACCCACTGACTCCTCACCTTGTCATCCTCCCAAGAGGAGTCCCTTTAAAACTCAACTGATACCAGGACACGCATAATAATTTACAAAAAATGATATTATATATTTTCTGCCATTCATCAAAGCCAGACGACTTTGACACTGTACAGTAGTTGCTTGTGTTTCAGCTGAATGATCCACTCATTCAAAAAACGTCCGTCAATACGCTGGTCGGACGTCTGACGGCCTTCATTTGTCTTGCATTTTATTTTGGCAGTGATCACAGAATCAGAGCATTGTTGGAGGAGGCGGCCGACGCTGGAGGCAAGAAAAGGAGCCATCAGCACAGATGCCATTGCTTTTCTTGGTGGAGCCCAGCTGCAGAGAGAGTGACGCCAGCACAGTAAACTCAACATGGACTTACCCAGAAACTGATGGACTCTGTAGCGAAATAACATGGAAGACAAGGGATCGACAATGAAAGGAAGATAATGAATACTGGAGTGTTTTCCAAGTTTCCTTTCTTATTATGGGTCTGCAAATTGTGATGTTTCTTTCTTTCTTTGGATAGTGTGAGCCACTATTTTTACCACCTGACTTTTAAACAATTAGGCTGAAGCATTAGCATGTGGACTGTGATTGGATGACCCAATACAAAGTGACCAGTGGGTCAACAACTGAATGCAAAGGTGCTCAGATCGTCACTCGTCTGAGCTGCTGAGTTACCGCTGCAGTCATACTCAAAAATGTCAGATCACGGCCCAAACAAAGGTCACAGCTCAAACTGAACACGGCTTCAGGCGGTTTCACTCTTTTGATCCTCGTCTCTGGCAGAAGGTGTCAGAATCAGTGACTGGAGATGCGGAGGAGTTTCTCTGGAATGAAACCTGCATGAGCTCAGGTCTGAGAAGCACAGAGGCAGATCCAGGATACTAAACAATGCCTTTCCTTGTCACTGGCCTCCCTGAAGTTTCCCAGGTTTCCCTTTACTGTACCCCCTCCGCTGACTGCCTGTGGCTGTTAGTATCTAATTCAGTGTCCTGGTGCTGCTGCATGGGGCTGCCAAAAGACTACACCACAGCCCATATTTCAGCCAAGCACACACCAGCTCCATCTGTGTGATGAAGGTTTCTCTAATGGCGTCCTCATTGCTCAGGATGGCACCAGATTTGTGGTTGAGGCTTCTCGATGTTTTGTGTCCTCTACATTTTGTCCAACTTGAATCAAGGTGTACAGAGATATTGTGCATGAATAGGGTCGCAGTTTAATAAAATGGTTACCGGTTCACAGTTTACTGCTCCAGTAAATTTAGTTGTACCACCTCAATCTGTTGCAACATAATTACCTCGGTTATGATAACTGTAATTATTCAGGTCACTGTAACCATGATGCTACATTTTCACACTTCATTTCATCTCTGGTTGCAGTTAATAATTATTTTCATTATCAATTAATCACAAAATAAAGGGGAAATTCTAATCACAAATTCAAATCACTTGTTTTGTCCAACCAACACAACAATCAAAGATATTTGATCCACAGGGATATGATAGAGGAAAGCACATTTGCTTGATGTTTTTTCTCAGAAGGAAACAAAAGGAAGAAGGAAATAAACTCAAACAATTAGTCAGTTCTTATAATGTGCGTCTGGTCAATTGTTTCAGTTACAAATTCCCTCACAGAGAATAACTCTGTGTCTGGCTGCTCGCACCAATGTTTACCCTGTCAGAGTGTGGGAGTAAACAGACTTGCATTTCCAGTCTGCCAGAGAACGGGAATGTTTGCATCAAGATTGGTGACTGTCGGCATTGTTTTTCAACCCGACACGTTGTTTCACCTAGACTGGAGAAGCTGGGGTGGGGTGTGTGGCTGAGAGTGGAGAGCTGAGACCTGATGGGCCACAGTCACGTTTCTCCCATCAGCTCCAAAGATAACTCCCCTCCCCTCTAACTATAGCCTCTGTGCAAAATGTTTTCTTTGACAGCTCAGACGGCGAGGTGTGTAAATCCCAACACCCCATCATTCTGCTGACTAATTTCAACATTTGGACTCAAGCTCTTTTGTCCACACGCCAATCCGGAAGTATTAAATGGCCTTGTTCATCCCTCATGGACAAATAACCACAGGAATTCGAGGAATGCTCTGAGAACAATGTTGCTGCTATTGGAAATGATCAGTGGCCGCAGTGTAAACTGCTTTACAGCAGGAGGAACAGGCCGGTAGGATGAAAACAAACATCTTATCTGCTTAATGGAAGTGAGGTGCATTCCACTCATTCAAGCAGTTTTGGTTTGAGTGTGAGGAGTCACGGGCAGCTTCCTCTGACAGGACAATCTGTCTGTTTAACAAGGTTCTACCTATAGCTCCTTAACAATCAATATCAAGGGGCAGGTGACACTGTGTCCTGACAGCACAACTCACAAGAAGAATAAAGTTATCAGACCATGCAGATGTATTTTACTGCTTTAGTGGTGGTGTCCCAAAACATAAACTCCAAACATCTGGCAGCTGGCAACATGAAACATGAGTCAATTGCATCCAAAAATGTTAAATGTCCACATGTCATCTGGATGTAGGAGGACTTGGGTGCATTTTTTTGACCAGAATGTCATCGTGAAGTGTAAAACAGTCATTTTGTATTTTGTCTAAAGGGTAAAAACAAAACCAAATCCTCTTCTTACCTTTGTGCTTCTCCATTCGCTCGCAGCTTGGGACAGTCACAGTTTTCACCTTCCAGTCCCTCGCTCTCCTCCGCGCATAAACCCCCCCACCGAACGACCTCCCCCTCCAAAATAAAAGAAAAGTTTTGCTGATAAAGTTTCTGAGTGCAGGCAACTTGTGCGGAATGCAGCCCGGCGCTCCCGTTTCCTCCTCCAGCAGCAGCAGCAGCAGCTCAGTGAGCGGACTGAGACACACTGAGATCACATCTGACCATGGAACAACAGCGCTCCTCTTCCTCCTCCTCATCTGCAGCGGTGCCGCACCTCCTCCTCCTCCTCCTCCTCCCTCCCTCCTCCAGTGCGCAGCATCCACAACAGCTGATCAACCGCTCCACCGACCTGGGGACCCCCCAGGTGTTTGTTCAGGGTCCAGAGTTGAAACCACTAAAGAAGAAGTTGTCACACTGACTGACATAGTTGTTTTTTTCTTTTGTCATCACCCACTCACATAATGAGAGGGAGCAGTCAATGTATGGAAGCTCATTCCTGCCACAAACGTTTTGTCATTATAATGAGAAACCTTCTCAGAGGAGTGTGTTTCTCCAAATGGCAACTTGGTATCTATATGAGTTAGTAACTAAAAATAATAACTCGGTATGTCAAAATAATGAGTTATCTCAACAAATAATGACCACACCTCTTAAAATAATGACTGAGAATCAATAAATAACTTAATAGCTCAAAATAATGAGGAATTATTTTGAAATAATGACATGGTATCTAACACTCAACTCAAAAATAATGAGTTACTACCTCAAATGATGACTGACTCAAAAAAATACTACTAGGGCTACTTTCTCAAAATTAAATTAACTTAAATTGCTATGTCATAATCTTGTCTCATTATTTCAACTTACTATCTTGTAATTTTTGCGTCTTACTATATTTCATAATTTCGATGAAGCTTTTTTTCTTTCCCAGGCGGAAGTGGGCGTCTATACTTATAAATTAGTACAAATTTCTGGAATCTGTCTCGGGTTTAGAAACTTTTTGTTTCCTGATTTAAACCCATAGATCATTTTCATAAAGTAACAAAGTCTCTGAATTTTAAGACTAAAAAAATCAACCACATGGGAATAATCTGAAACAGAAGAAATGGTGCCTGAGGACAAAACTTTTAACATGGGAGGAGATTGGATATTGAGAATACTGTTTATTTGTTAAAAAAGAGACTTCTATACTTCTGCAGCCACAACCAATAGAAAAGTGAACATTCCTGCAACAGCCGTGGGAAGAACCGTGGAGGAATGGGAGGAATGTCAAACGGAGTTAGCATAACACACTCCGGGGGATGATTAAAATGCATGAAGTTTTTTGTATTTAACCTCTTGATTAATGGTTTTTGTCTACGCACACGCATTTACTCCCTGTCATACGTGGTTGAATAGATGTAAAATGTAAAACCCGTCACAGGAGAGAAACGCTTGGCCGAGGTTTGCACTGTTTACGTCCAAGATACACAGAGTGCAGTTAAAGTGAGGGTGGTGCTGGTTGATGGTGCACCTCGCAGCGGACAGGAGGACGAGGTGGACACTTCACCCTCCTGTCTGCACTTAATGGACATTCCTCTCTCAGGCAGGGTCCTCTTGATGTCTAACTCTTTTCTGCACTGGAAAATACAAAACTTTAAATTGCTTGCTTTAAAATATTTTTGAATAAACTGAACAAAAAAAGATTTCATTGCATTATAAATTATAGTAAATTAGTACTAAATTATATATAAGTATTTACCTATACTATATTATGAAGATTCTTGGGTAAGATTGGCCTAAGTACACAACTGAAAACACTAAACTTCAGGTCCGATGAGTGTGCCAAAGTTTATAATGGAGCTTGGAGTCTACCGAACAATTGTGATGCTGTATCCTTGCTGTGTGTTATTCTGTGTGTGTATTTTGGTGTTTGGGGATATCTGTGTGAAAAAATGAGGTATAAGAGCCACAAATTCCATTAGATACTTTCTCATGTGAAACTACAATGTTGTGGGTCAGTTTGAACTCGCAGTGATTTATGCGTGTCATGGTTTCTTCTCTTTGAAATAACTCAAGAAGAGTATTTATAATGGAAAGTTTCAGTCGTGTAAATCTTAGTATCAGACCAGGTTTACATACATCTCTGGACTGTATTTTTTTTCCGATATTAACAATATAAATTGTCCGATGTAAATACGTGCAGGGCTGCAGGAATCAATCCCAGCTGTAGGAGGAAGAGGAGAACACGCAAACCCAGCCAAACCACAATTCCGAACCAGAACCTTGCCGTCCACCAAAGATACAGTTTGAATAAGAAAGAAAAACCAACAAAACTTGTGAGTACAATAAATCACAACCAGAGACAAAACAGACAAGAGAGCTGAGAATCAATAAAAGGCTGGCACACAAACATGGAGCTTTGAGATGCACGCTGACAAGAATCAGCTGAGTTTGCACCACTCTCTCTCTCTCTCTCGGGCTGTTTCAAAACCAACAGGCAACCGCAGCAAACACTCAAAGCTTATTTGATCAGATTTGAATGCAGAAGTCCTTATTCTTAAGTCTACATGCATCCATTTTGGATTTTCTGGGCTCAACGTTTCAACAAATATTCAAAGGACCTTAGCGAAAGTTCAAGCAGCTTCATTTTAAACTGAAATCGTCAGCCAGTGAAACCAATAATGTGAACTCGCTCAGGATTCTTTACTAAAGCCCTCAAAGGTGCATTTCAAATATTCCATCAAGATCTAGGAGCTGCACTTTGATATGTTAGACTGTGTTGAATGTGCTCATGTGTTTGTGAGAGTGAGATGGAATCATTATGAGGATTTGAGTTATTCTGCTTTGCCGACACAGAGGAAGTGTTATTTTATTATTCGCTTCATTCAGCAGTTGTGTCGATCAGCTGTTCGTATTTCATCGAACGCCTTAAACAAACATGTTTTTTTTAGTAAAGCATGAGTGTTTCTAACTGATGGTGCAGCCCTGCAGCGAAGGTGAGCTGACTCAGGTTTCCACTCTGAAGAAACGTCTGGTTTTTGTAAGAAACGCTGACACAAGATTTACAGTTGGGCAGCCGTATGGTTCCTTTAGGCCTCCGCTGTTTATGTTCTAAGCTCTTTGTTTGCCCTGCGGTTCCAGAAAAGAAGCGATTATCGTGGGATTATGACGGCATTTTCACTTACCAGCTAAATTCATAAAGCCTGTTATTGCTGTTTTTATCAGTGGATGGAGTTGTCCTCGCATGACCCCGGAGAGCTGAAGCAAAAGTTAGTTGAAGAACTGTGAATTGGGGTTTTTCCAAAGCCAGGATGCACTTCCCTGCTTAATATTTTCCTTTTGTTGTCATGAATTCAAAAGAAAAGTTGCACTTGAGCAAATCTTTTCACTTTCTTTTAGAGCAACTACATTGTACCATACTTATTCTGTCCTTGAACTTGTGTGTATCAGTCTGAATCTTCCCCCCAGTAATAAGTCAACAGATGATGTCATGTGTTTTGTCCACTCACTCATAATGCCTGGAGTGAATGGTGAAAGTGTGAAGGTGAGTCAGGCATGATGGGTCAGCATGAATTGAAAACAGGGGTGGTCCCGCCTTTCTCTCCTCCGCACCAGCAGCAAAACTGCCTTGTTAATCCAACAGGGGAATTCCTATTGTGCAGCAGAGCTTTGGAAGCACCATGGCTGTACGGGAGGTTTCAGGTCAGGATTCGGACTCAGATGATTTATAATCCCCGTGATTGTCCTTTTTTGTGAGGTATTTGTATGTAGGTGTGTTACAAGAGAGCTTGAAGTTAACAAGGGGGACAGACACTTTAATAGAGTGCATTTTTGGAGTCAAAGGTGCGACAGGGCTTCTCTGTTTTTTTTCTGCTGTTGATCGGAGCACAAAGAGCATTCCTCAGCTGTGAATCAGAGGACAAAGGTCGCTGACTCAAACTCAAATTAGCACTGGACCCTCTTTGATTCAGGGGACTCTCCCATGTTTGCAAAAATATATACAGACTGAAAAGATACCCCCCATTTCTTTAAGTATTTTCATCTCACATCGTCTGAACCACCTCTCGTGTCAGGGAATTTCCAGAGAAAGTCAGATCCACAGACTCCGCTGTACCTCCCTGTTGTTTTAAGAACAGTCAGACCAAGAATGCAGAGGGCACTGCCTCCAGACACACAACACTTTGTGAAGATGGTGCCTGTTTCCCTGCACCGCTGAGGTGTGTGCACCTGACTAAACGCCAACAGGCTCTCCCGTGGCTTAAGTGGAGGAGTGTTAAGTCATAGCTCAATAATATTGCTTTTAGTTGGTGTGTGATCAGGTTCACGGTAACCTCTGTGGAAAATAAACAGCGGCTCTTCAGATTTCAAAATGTGAGCGCAGATGACTCATGTGAAGGCTGAGAAAATGTGGAGGTGATACTTTTTCGCCGCAGCTCAAATCTTGCCTGCAAGCTAGCTTTTGTTTAGGGAACGCTGAGAGGAGCCGAGAGGTTCTAGATTCACAAAATAAACTATATTTTAGTTTGATGCTTTCAAAAGTGTACACAACTCAAAAAAGCCACGGTGGCGAGGTCCAACATCATTTTTCAAATTACTTTTTAGTTCATATACGTCCCATCCACTAACATGGAGGAAGCAGGGTTTATGAGCTATACTGCAGCCAACCACCAGGGGGCAAATCCAGATGCTTTGGCTTCACTTTTGGGAGTCGTCATGTCGTTCGTCTTTATTTACAGTCTACGGCAAAACTCTTTTTTTATTTGTAAGCTGACAATTGTAATAAGTTTTCAGTTCATTCTGCTACAAACATCAAACTCCCTGAGATCATATTTTCATATTAATACTGAGGATGAAACCTCCACAGTCACGACAGAAACTGGTTAAACACTCCTGCTCTTCTCCTCCAGACCCAAACTAGAGACTGAAACTCTGTCTGTACCCTTCAGTCTCTCATTTGTGCACCCAAGCCTCATTGCTGCTGTGCAATATTGCCACCTGCAGGTGTAGAGGTGAAAATGTGTCCGGCTCCAGACAGATGAGTCTGTTTAAAAGTATTACATAAAGCATATTTAAGTTGACACTTTGACTTGTCAGGGGGGATTTCAGCAGTTTTAAACCAGAACTTGAGAACAAACCAGTCCAGCAGACGATGCCAGGCTCCATCTTACATAGAATCCCACAGTCCATGGTAGATGCACAATCCCCGCCTGCATGATAGACACAAATGGATTTCTCTCAGCTATATCATACAGTTGCATACGTCATCAAAACCACACTTTATCCGACCACGATGAGTGCTCTCTCAGAGACGCTCTCCATCTGTGTTTGAGGTCAATCGCGATTGAGCCTCCTCAAAAAAAGATTAATGAGAGTCTTTATTAAAAGGCGCCTGTAAGCCTGAGATCTTGTCACCGATTTTTTCACCACAACCATTAGTGCTGGTTATTGAAATTTCCTGAGCTGTGCCGTGACCTGATGTACGATAAGAACACCCTTGACCCGGCAGCACTTGTACTTGAAACGCAGATGCAAAAGTTCAGCCTCTCTGCGATGGTTGAGTTCAGAAAAGGACAATTGTACATCTAAAATCAGCTCCTCCAAACTGAGCCGTGCTGAATTAATCACAGAGCCCCGCTGACATCGACAGCTTTTTACCTCCCTCATCGTCACGTCCTTTGTTAGATGTTCAATTATGCACCATCAAGAGCCAAAAGTAGAAGATGTATGAATATCACTTCAAATGTGTGAACTCATATGATGTAGTGTTGAACACCTGCATGCTTTTGATCCTTGACTGCCCAAAGAGGACCCTCAGAGTTTCAAACAACAGAGCCCATGTACAGAAACATTATATTATATTATATTATAGAGACAACATTGTGTAAAAGTG